TAGAAATGGACATTATTCAGATTTTTTTAATGAAAAACTTTCCCAGATATGAATCTTCAAACTTTCAGTACTGTTGGCATTAGCATTAGCTAAAATCTACCGCGTGGTGCATATTCAGTCGAATTTACACTCTTTGTGTGCATGTGCGCGTGTCTGCATATATATACTGTGTAACAATTCAAAAATCAGGAATTTTGTACAGTTAATCCTGTAGAATAAATACTGTAGAGTTCATCAATTCTATAGTATTGTTGGGCCCGCTGGAGTATTTAATAACTCCAAACCCTTTCTATCTACGTGTATAAGTACATTGTATATGTCCGTAAAGATTTTAAACATTGCTATTTATTTTACCAGATACCATAATCAAATACGATATGTAAATTGGCATAAACGGTTTAAATTTCAAAACGACGCCGCGCCTTGCGCGGCATTAATGGATGTATTTCCGATCGATTCTTCACGATGACAAAAATGGGTGCGACAGATCGAACGTCGTGTAGGATAAGTTGACAATACCCACTGTGATTCCTACTATTGGATAGCTATTCGACTTTCATCCGATTTCTGTATTCAAAGAAAATTTGATCTCTCTTAATGATTGGGTAACATGGTGCTTTACTATATTTATGATAAAATTTCAATGTAACAAGACGAGATAATTTGTTCTCTCAGATCTTGTCCTCTCGTATTCATTTGCTCGAATATCGTCCCTTGAAAGTTACTACACGATATCCAGCGTAGTTCTTTTTAAATTAAATTACCTAGTGTTGTATTTCTTCTTAAAAATTAAAACAAAGTTAACAACTTAATTTTCCTTGAAAGAAATTAAAAAGAAGTTTAAATAAGATTTACAACTAATTTTTGAAACGACGAAAAGTGCTGGATAAAAAGAAAAGTATTTACAAAATGTTTTTAATTTTCTGTGCTGACGTATTACTCTCTCTTTCTTTTATTTAATTTTTAGAAATGCATTGTATAAGTTTTAGGCATGTTCGAAAATTAAATGCACTTTTATCATAATAAACTATTTGATATACAAAAACGCATCTTGTAATCGTTTCTCTGAATAAAAGCAGTCGATATGTTTCGCGTGAAGCTACGTAATTGAAAAACAAATTGTGAATACACCTGAAACCGTAAGCAAATTCCCAGCAAGCGTGACGAAAATATATGTATATCGATTTGAATATGATGTAATATTACGGCAAGACCCTTCTACACACACACAATGACATAAGTTCTAACCATTTTATTGCCTCATCCTGTATTTATATGTATATACAGGATAGCCAATATTAACTTTCACTTTGAGATTTCTCGTCAACTAACAATAAGACTTCCATTTAAAAAAGTTTTATACAAGCTTCATTAAAAATATATGCTTCATAAAAAATTTTCCATGTTTTTAGTGGCGCATGTTATGGTGTTAATGTCAATTCCAAATTTCCATTGGAAATGGTGGATTTTTATCCACAAAAATCATTCTTTTAAATAGAACAATTTTTCATATCCATATTTTACGTATCAAGATAATTTTATATTAATTTCTTCGTCAATCTCATTTTTCACTCTTTATAATTCTTGTCGAAAGTAAATTTTTTATCTTACAATTATTTTAGATTATTGATTATTTTATCATCACGGCTAAGTTGGTTAGAATTGAGAATTTAACAAGCTCGCAATATTTTAATGACTATATTCACATTAATATTAATTTTAATTGCATCGTACACGATCTATCCAGCTCACGAGAAATCACTGTTCATGTATAACTTCATTATAAAACGTTCTCGACCAAACTTTTTAATATCAATAACCAATTAGTTGATTATATCTTCCCTAAGAGAATCGAAAGCTTCCTAGAAACCAATGTACATACAAACAACTGATGGCCGATATAAACTCGCCAGAGAAATTAATCCTTTCCATTATAGGATTAAAAATAAGGTAATCTCTTTAGATAATACATATATAGGTATACTGAGTACTTGAAAAAGTATATTTGTTTAAATTTAACTGTAAAATATTCTTGAAGATTGCCTTACAAATCGTTGACGACTGTTCAGAACTGCTCTATCGCATTTGCGTACAAACTAATTGTAAGTTCAAACAATGGCAAACTACTTGCCTAATGAGATAGTTGATATCCACCCCATTCTCGGAGAATATAATCGTAATTACCCACGTGCTTCACGTATTTATGCCATAATTGATGTCATCTTTCCGATCGACACGTTATCAATGTTAAGAGACGTCGTAGATTTTTATAGTGCCATAGGCGAAGAAACAGAATCCAAACTAACAATAATCTTTTCATGATTTTATCACTGTATTAGGCATGGTTTATATCAATCCTAACATCAGTATAGAGATATGTATACAGTACGGTACGCCAAATAGAACAAGGACTTGGAATTCCAAGAGCTATTCATCCAAATACTACGATCTGCTCAATAACACTTGGTGCTACATTACACAATACATTGGTACAGGAATTTATCAAGGCAAATCGTAGAAACATACACAAAAGAGCTAAAATATAGTTGTGGCAGCTTTCCTTTACGAGATTGCTAATGTCGCTGCTACCGAATCTCTTTATCCGTTGGTTACTATTTTATCCGCACCTAATCTGTGCTAATCTTCAACAGTACCTATTTGCTCAAAACATTTTATAGTAGGTTTAACTGTTGCTTTAGATATTCCATGATTATTATTACGAAAAGTTTCATTAAACAATTGTGCTTCTCCGTAAGACCTTGTCCGATCACTTACTAGCGCATTACAGCAAATTTAGTTGTTGAGTATAATTGTAAAAAAATTGCCAAGATAAAATCGTGGTAATTACGCGAAAACTAACAGCGAAATCTACGCAGCTCAAAATAAAAAAAACGGAAGAAACATTTCTAACGATAAAACAATCATTTATCCAGTTTATGCCAAAAGTGTTTCGTCGTAAACAAGAAAATCCATGCAGCGCGATGTAAATCGCGCTGAACCTCGTGCCATAATCTGAGAATCGATAAAGTGATTCGGTTTCGATAAGACGAAGCTGTGCTCGACCGGAGGAAGAATGATATTCGATCGACCTTGGACCAAGCTCCGCCTAAAGCGGAATACTTGGCCAACTGATGCATGCAATAGCGCATAAAACCTTTATGAGATTTGTCGATCGAAACAAATCAACCTTATTGTGGACATAATCAATTACAAAGGACTAATCAATTATACATTATATTCGCCAGATGTAGCGATAAGGACAATAAAAAAAAAGATTTTAATTAGCTCAACTTCTTACAGATAATGTTATAGATTTAAAAAAAACCCTTAGTTTTCAAATCACCAAAAAGCTATATGATTAATGATGTAAAGAAATATCTGCCAATTATAACACACTCTATTTAAAAACAAAAGCTAAATTATATACCAAAAGAATAGGATAAAAAAGAGAAGTGTGCATAAAAACGTTAAATATTCAGGGATTTTTAAATATAGAAATCTCATATTGCATTTATATCTGACAGGCATTTGTTTCCTATTTCCCATTTGTATTTTTAATTTGTATTTTTATTTATACAACACGTGTAAAAAATTGGCAATTTGATTTTTGTTTCGCAATTTTCAAATTTGATGTTTTAATTGGATTAATAGCGAAGATTGGGGGAATTGAAAAAGACCAAGTTATAAGAAAACCAAGAATGCTCTTACAATTAGCCTATTTATATACCTCTTCAAAATCATCAAGACAGAAATAAGGCATAATAAGTTTTGCTTGCCTACTTCCCTCGAGCACCTTTCACAATCCACCATTACAAAAGTCTGCCCTCAATTTTCTCCACTGCTAATCGTTCTCGCTATTCTCTCAATATTTCAGGACAATGACTCACCAAAGTAATTACATTCATTGTCTCCCTGTCTCATTAGCAAATATAAACGAGCCAAGATATTCTTGCTTTCGACAAAATATTGCTAACAAATAAATTAAACTTTGAGAGATCACGTTATCACATTATTATAAAAGATTCACTTTTCTCTCTGGTGTATTAAAAACGTTAATTTTATAACTGAGAAATTCATTTTGATTCCATAAATAAATATAATTTCCATGGGTCTATTCAAGTTAAAATTATTGCTTGAAAGTTTAATTACTGCGTAAATTGAATTAAATTGTTAATTAGACTCAAGTTTTTTATAAAAATTGAAATCAATGAAAAATTCGCAATAAGAAAACGCAAAGATATTCTGCGTAAAAATAAAATAGATATAAATAAAAATTGAATTAAAACTAACCATCTCTTCCTAAGAGTCGCACTATATCGAGTGCAAGTGCCCTTCCTCGAATCGCTTACGGATTTATGAGACTAGCGAACAAACAGGCACTACAAGGCGATCGTTTCGATCAATGTAGTCTTTTTTTCGATTAATTGTACCATTCGAGAATTATAAAATCTCCAGTTTGCTACACGAACTAATCGGAACATTATCGGTTATGCTTTTCTGCACGATTTCTATAACTCAAAATTGGTTTTTTCTTATCAAATATGTTGCAACGTAATTACCGATTAAAAATAAAAAAATTAGCAAAAGGGAAATCGATATTAAAACGATATTCTTTACTTAATTTTGAAGGATTTGCTTAATAAATTTATGGGATTTGCTTCGGTAGAAATGTAATCTAATTTATACAATTTACAGGTACACAGATATACGGTGTATATGTATATTTGAGATTTAAATATGTGCACTCGGTTATTTGTATTAGAGTGCAGGGCACAATGAGATATTTTGAGTTTCGATGATATAAAAACGATTAAAATTTTACTCCATTCCTCATTGTAAATGAAAGTGCGCGCAAAAGTACCTAACAACCAAGAACGAGATACTACTACCACCTTCTTCTCCCCCCCCCCCAAGTATCTATTTTAATCGAAGACACTAAATACTAATTTGCGGGAAATCGAGATGTGCGCACCGCAATTATGGTTCCTCGATTCTCTCACCTTGTCAATCGGCATTGAAGGGCACGCACGGCAGAGGTTCCAAAATGAACCAATCATGAGGCCGCAGTGTGTGAGGCAGTGGGACAGTAGTAATGACACACAGTCGCTGCGTTAGCGAGCGATGCAGCGGGGGCCGGCCGTTTCTTGACCGGCGATGACGGATACGGTGCCGTCAGCAGGCCAGGATCGCAGGCGTTGTGCCGAGGAGGAGGACGTGGCTCCTCGGCGTCGATCACGGGCAATACACCACTATACGTATTCTCGTCTTCGACCACCTCTCACTAGCACAACACCACCCTCTTCTCAGCCTTCAAGGCAGTGTTCGTAAGCGGCGCTCGGGCTTAGGCTCGGGCTCCGAATTGCTCCCTCTGCGTATACGCGTCTTGATGTATATTGTGTCAAATACGCGCATATAAAGCGGTGCAGATATTATATCAAGGTGGATATTATATGTATACTGCATATCGACTGATCTTTTTCGCAAGGTAGTATCTCGATTTTACGCAATTTCTGGTTTTTGCGCTTAAACTCTGGGCCAGAGTGAGCGTTTAAGCCAATATGTACGTATACTTTTAAATATATTTTATTTTTATATATATATCTACACCACCTTATAACATACATAGGTATGTATGTATGTATGTGTGTGTGTACATGGTGAGTTAGCAAAACTTTCCACTCGTTTTTTTTGTAATCAACCGATTTATGTAAAACATGCAGAAGCATAGCATTAATCTTGTTTTTAAGGAAAAACATATACTCAATTGCAATAAAATTAGATCTCTTGATGAGCTACTCCCTCAAAAATATTAACTGACAATAGGAGTCGAGTGACATATCTTTTAATACTCTTTACAGCTATTATTTTAATTGGATTTAAAAGTCGAATGTCGAAGTCTTAAATATTTAAAAATTGGAAATTTGGAATAAATCCGATTTAGTTTACTTGTAAGAGACGCATTTGTTTTTGTTATATTTTTTCTTTGAGGACAAAAAATAAAAGGTGAGTAAAAGCAGGTATGCAAATGCACCGCAGAAAGGCGCGTTAACAAAGGAACGCCAAATTAAATTTTAAAAAATCAATTGTCTATTCCTAACACCAATTAAATACGTTAATTTTTGTCGGATTTAATTTTTTCAACATGCGTATTGAATCAGGTAAAATGAGTACATCAATTTAGAAAAATAAAAGCATAATTTTTTCCACCTAACTAAAATTTAATTCTGAAAATTTTCTATTTTGTTTAAAACTACTTTCTTGGTTTGTCATTTAAAATATTGGGAAATGAAAATACTGAGAGAGAGAGAGAGAGAGAGAGAGAGAGAGAGAGAGAGAGAGAGAAAGGGGCAACAAAATCCTTTTTTAAATAACTAGAATATACGTATATAATTAAATGATTCAAATAAAATATCCCTAACTATATTACCACAAGAAAAGACTTATATCGATTTCTTTACGACGAAGTTTAATTTAAACACATTTCCTTACGGTTTTTTAATATCTAAAATTTCCACGCGTATTTCTTGAGAAACATTCAAAACAAGACACAATTGTAATAAGAACTGAAAGGCCTTTATAAACAATATGTAATTTCTTTTCTATTAACATTTAAAAAAATTTTAATTTTTAATTCACTTACAATTAAAAATTTTTTTAATGGCGATAAAAGGGTAGGTGTCCTAATCACAAAGATGAAGTAATGTGATAAAATTTATCACAATTATACACCAAGAGCAAAGTTTTTCAACACATTCGTACAAATTAGCTGGTTACAAAAGAACAGTGGCAGAAAGTTTTCATTGGCTCACCCTGTATATCTATGCATGCATATGTATGTGCATGAAAAATGTGTATGTGTGTATATTTAAAAAGTATAATATCCGTACGTGAAAGGTCAACTGTCGTAACTTTCGTTTAGCAAATTTATACAGAAGAGCCGAAATTAACTTGCACTTCTATGCGTTGTCTTTTTATAACATTTTTCTAAAGTGTGTTTGAAAATACTGTTTGCTTTCAAACATCTATTCCTTCTACAGATACGATTGTCACTGAAATCACTAGGAAAGTCTCAAAATCGATAATTTTGTAGTTACAACAGTTTACTCTCTTTCTCTACCTTCTCAGGTATACATATTTTAACGTGTATTATTACGTTACACGCATTCGTACAATGCCATATAATACATCAAGCCCGTTTTAGATGAACTACACATAATTTAGACTTCAGGATAAAATACTTAATAATTTTAACCATCGATATAATTTTAACTAATAGCATGAACTGCGCACATTCCCTAATTTATTATATAAAAAGGGTACTCATAAATAATGAGTAAAATAGCAAGTAGCGGTTGTCTCTCCTATCTCTATTACACAAGTGTTACGGTTCTGACTGAAAAGAACACACAAAATCGGTCGCTTCCGTCTTTCTTTTACATTGAGACACACTTTCCACTTGCGTCGTGCAGTTCATACATACCATAGATCGATGACTTAAAAACAATATGTATTTTGCGATATACATATATCATATATCTTCATATATGTTTTGTTATATGAAAAAATTGTGTGAGATAAATTTAATCTGAGTTGCAATATGAGTTATAGCTCGTCTGAAGCAAGTTTTATGTATAATATAATTACAATGAAATTGTACAATATATGTATACATATAATATTTATATTGAATATTTCTGAACGGGTATGTGTGATTCTTCACAGACTATCTGAATAATTCTTCTAAATTTGGATAAATATATGAAACTGTTAAGGAAAGGCTTTTTCGTAATATAAAATGCTTCCTTTTGCTTCTCTTCTATTTACAAAATGTAGAAAAAAATTTTTCTTGTAAAACAAATGTTTACCTTAGAAACATCCAAGTATTGATCCCGAATCAAAATTTCTTTTGCATTTACATTTCACCTTTAAAATTATACGAATAATGTCTGCAATATTTTCTCATATATTTCAATCTAGAAGATTTTCAGATATTTTGTTGGACGTCTGGCTATAAAGAGTTATAAAGGGCATGTGTAAAAGCGGTAGCGCCGATGTATGCATGCGTATGCGTGATTGTATGTACATGTATATGAATGGAAGACAAATGCCAGAGCATTCGCGTATACGGTCGATCCAGCGGATTTCTCCGACGAAAAAGAAAATCGCAAAATGGATCCCGATATTCAGGTTAAGGTTGGCATCACGCTGTATCCAGCATGTTAAAAATGATCAGAATACGACTGTACACGTCGAAAGCGTCGATAACGGAAAAGCGAGATGATAGAAATGGCAAAGCGATAAAGCGGAGATCTCGTCATAAGACGCACGTGAGATGGATCATAAATCGAATCGAAAATGTGGTCGGCAGAATAAGTGGCTCGAAACAAATCATCCTGAAGTCCTCGAAGAATCCGAACTCGCTAACTGACGATTGTGCAATACATTTGCAAAAAATTCATAAGTTATATATTTATTTGTAATATTTTGAGAAAACTGATTTAAAGAGAAAGTATAAGAAATGGTAGAAACATGTTTAATAATATCTAATAGAATAGAAGCATATTAAAATATGCGAAAAAAATTCTTTATGTAGTACTTAGAGTATAAAAAATAATATTAATCCATCAATCCAATTAATCTAATAATAATCATTCTAGGAGACGATATTCTAGATTAACTAGAATCACATGATTTATTCTCTCGTCAAGAATGATGTAACGCGAATTATGATGAATATTAAAATAACGGCAAAGTAACAGTCCGAAAGCAATTATGTACATTTCTAATAGGAATAAGAGTGCGAAAGAAAAAAATGAAGGAATAAGTAGTTTTCACACTTTGTTCGACACCGTCGTCGATGTCGCAGAAACGAGAAAAGAGTACACTAGGAAAAATAATTTTGTGTCCTCAACAAAACAGTTTAGTTTTTTAAAGAACAAAATCATTTGGTTCAGAGAACAAAATGTTTTGTTGCATAAAACAAGATATTTGGTAACTGTAAAAAATTACTTCAACTAAACTGTTTTGTTGAAGACACAAAATTATTTTTCCTAGTGTACAATTCAGAAACAATTGACAGTAATAATTAGTGGATATTTTGACTTCTATATGAGTCATCTTCAGCGCAATAAATATTCATTCTCACGATTTTCGTTAGACTAAATGATAGGTGGCTTTAGATTTTTTAGTCGAAAAGCAAGAAAGAAATTGATGTGTATCTTTTGACCAAGTGATCATAGTCAACTGCTCCAGAAACATACGAATCGCAGATCGAGGCCAGTCGGAAAAATCCGCAAATACATTCTAAAGTACATTCTAAAGACCAGTACAATTAAGATGTTAAAAACATCAAATTTGGTTGACCGTATCTGGCAATTTTTATGTTTGGGACTCGCTACGTTTCGACCATGGATTTTGGTCCTTTTCAAGCGATCTGACTATACAAAGTACAATGGTACAACATTCAGAAACAATTAGACCATACAAGTGCTTGATGTTGTTAATTATTGCTGGCAACCCTGAAGATTATTCTTGTTTAAGATATTAAGAGG